TCTAGACCAAAACACTCGATAGTGTTTAGTCTTGCCTCTGGGAATAGTTTTCTTTGCACATCTAATCATAATATTTTTGATATTGTTGTAAAGTTTGTCAGGATGTTGGTTGAAGTTGAGGGGACTTGTGTGAAGTTCATTCTCTAAAAGGTTTGTGAATCTAGGCCAATAAGCCTTCTTGAAGTTCCATGATAGTTTAGTTGGCACTTTCCTTGTCATGCTTTTGCTGCCGATGTTAATGCTAGCAATGACTGGTTTGTGACCAGAACCAGGATCGTCAATTATTTTGCGGCGTGTATGCTCGCTGATGTCGTATTGTCCTTGTTGCGTCGAATAGGCTCGTTTTTGCCCAGATCTTACGAGAGAGTATTTTTAGTTCTTAAGGTCGTGGCCTTGTAGATGCGAACCATGAAATAAATCATGCTGAAACAGCAAAATATCCTTTTTTTGCTAAATTCCCTTTTGCATAGAAATAATTTATATACTTGAGGTCTATTTATTTATATCAAATGACAGGCGTTTAGATAGTTATCATTAGCCCTTTAGTTAGCTTCAGTCCTAACAGAGGGGAAGGAACATCAAAGTGAAAAAGTGTCGAGAAGGGGGAACAAAAGAGCGTTTCACAGATGTAAAAGATACAGGCAGTCACAAAGACAGAGAAATTGTAAGTTGAGTACTGCGGAAGTGGTCAAATATGACATACAGTGGGATCATGACAGTTTAAAGTTAAAGGTCAACTGTCGAGTTATAGACTTTTTGTCGTATGATTATACGTTGCCCAGTGTGGACCACGTGGAGGAAAGTCTATCGTACACCCCATATACTTGAGGTTAAGCTCTTATTCTCTATATCGGCATAAATGGCTCCTTTAAATGTATACTCTACTTAAAAAGGAGTCACATTTTAGGATCTAATTATACCTATTGAATAATAATCACCACGCCAAATTTAGCTGTCCCATTTAAGATGACCCAGATAGTTTGTAAATGTCAGGATAAAGAGATGACATTTGTTTTCTTACTCGGTCAATCAGAATACGATGAATTCTTTTGGTTTTTAAAGAATACTCCCGTATAGGAAACAACGAGCCCATAAAAGATATTTTGGCTTTGATTATTGGCTAATGGAGCTTCTAATTTCTCTCCAGCGTTAAAACACGTTACTTCTTATTCTCTTGTCACTTACAGACTCACTTCAAACTGTAAACAATAACCCGAAACACGATCTCAATCTTGAGACAACCAACCACACACTGTCTACTTAGAGGCACTGCAATATGAGTAAAGCTAATTCGAACTTTACAATCAACTAACTAACACTTTGAATATCCGGCGTAACATGAGAAAACTTCGAATCACGTGACGCTTAAGGTCTTGTCGGAGAAGAGAAGGAATTTTAAAAAGACATTTGCGCTTGCCAACCTTTAGATACCTAGGGCCAAAATGATTGGACAGGGGTTAACAATTCAAGTAAAATTGATTTCTTTCGATCTGTTAAAAAACACTTTCAATATAAGATCGCAGCAAGGCAATGTACTTGCGCAAAATCAAAAATTGACGGAATCTTATGGACACTTCGTTAGTAGCAAATAAATTAATGGTTGCCAAATTGTACTTTGAACGTTTGAACGAACCTAGACATTTGCAACTGTTTTTCACTTAAATTCAGTTTTATTGGATAATATGCAAATGCATGTGTTGGAATTGCACCGAACTTTATAAAGGGTCTATTAGAACCAGGACAGTTAAAAAAGTTTACGTGGCTGCATATTTTATTGTTTACACTTTCGTTTCATTTTAGGTTCCTGTTCAAAACCAGCCAATCGGAAACTCTGTGGGCATGAATAATGTAATTTCACCACCTCCACATACTGTAAAGACAGATTTGCAGCTCCCTTCTAGTGTTAGTACTGCTGCTGCGACAAGTGTTAGCCAGCTACCCACTCCAACGCTTGCCTTCAGCTCTGGGGTTCTACGGTTCAAAAGACCCTCAGATTTTGCACCACAAGGCCTTACCGCTTCTGTTTTAACTACTCAAACCTCATCCAAATCAAGCTCCGTTGTGTCGCTGAATTCAGCAAATGGCTGCCATAGTCTGTAAGTTTGATTACAATTGTTTAAATCAGTTTCTGCTTTCATTGTCCTTTTTCTTAGTTGATTATCACATGGAAATTAGTTCAAGGGGAACTTGTGACTACATAACGACTGCTATATTTTCTCATTTCAATATTTTAATTTTGCTCTATTTAAAAAGAGTTGAAGTAGATTTTTTAGTCTAACATGTATTATCTATGTAAGCATTTTTTTCTTTTTTGTGAACAGCAATATAAGTAAACAAAATGATTTTTTTATTTAAGTGATTAAAACGTTTGATAAATCGGTTATTGAAATGACGGTATTTATTTATATAATTAAGTGGTTGCCCATATAATTTCCCTGATAATGAAAAGTGGCCACAATTGAAAAAAGCGTGACTACTATTTGAACAGTTGTAATTTCATTTGTTTAATATCTACATAAACAACTACCTTCTTCAAATTTTAAGGGAAATTATTTTGCGAAGAATGAAATATTTTTCTAAAAAGGTCATAAATAAGTTCCTGATTCGATCTTGACTCATTTAGATTCATATAGACGTAAGTTACCAGAATATTTTAGTTCTGAGAAGGTATTGACATCGGATAAGGGTGATTCAAACATAAAACAATGAGGGGATAATCAAAATGACACGTGGACGAAAAACATGGCATCAATGAGTTGCCCTTCATTTGACTTTTAACTTCAGGCTAATAAATCGGCAGTTTACTTTCACAAGTCCTCTAGGTAACAGTAAGTGCTTGCCAATGATTCTAAGTCCTTAACGTTCATCTTATTGCGAAGTGGAGCTGTCAATCATGCCAGTTCACTTCCTTTTCAGCTTACAATGATTAAAACACCAAAGGATCTCATTCGATATTCTGTTTGCTCAAGTTGAGCAGAGGAAATGTGCAATTTTAGATAGCCTCCCACCTATTATCAGGTTTAGTACATTTAGGCAAAATTTTTCTCCTTAATCTTTTTCATCTTTTCACCCAGATCTTAGTTAAGTTTGGTCACTTGACAATACTCTTTGAGAGGTTAATATTTTTTTTCTAATTTTAGCCAAAATTCAATAAATTCCCACCCGGACCTTCCGGAGAGTATTAACGAAGAGAAAGACGGGGAAGACAGTCCATTGGGGAGTGGGGAAATAAATCGTGCGATGTCTGAACTCGAGGATGTAAATCCGGGCACTTGGTCAGGTCGCCTCCCTCCTGCGCTTCCTGGGTTGCTCACATCTTCTACTAGCCAATTCTACCTCACGACAGCTAGGCAAAGAACTTCATTTGATCCGCATCTTCGAGTCGATAAGATTGTCAATCCCAGGCGAAACAATGATGAAGATAATAAGAGTATAAAATCGGAGTGTCTTCCAATTAAAAGTTTTGGTGAGCTTAACGATATATTTTCCACTTATCTCAATTATTTGTTATTGGAAAGAGCAGACATTGAACGATTCGGACATTCATATTCCATGAAACTTAAGTGAATGTATGATTACTTACATGAAAATCAAAGAAATTATTAAAAAAGATTGGATTATCTTTTTTTAAATTAGAATTAATCAATATTTATAAATTCTCAGTTGTAAGGATAAAACAATTTTCAAAATATCAAGATTATTAAAACCGCTCAAATAGCAAGAGTACTAAAAAACGCAAAGAAATGAAAAGGCAGTCAGTTAAGTTTTCATAACTTCAATGTATTAGGTAGGCAACTAGGTCATTGCCGATTTCAAATAAGAAGGCAAATTCGGACTTTTTGTTTATAAATATAACTTTATTCAATTAGATATTGGCCGTTCTTGTCGATGACCTTTTTCCATCGTTCTGGCAGAGTAAAAATTCCCCCTTCGTAAAATGTCTGGTCTTTGCTATTAAAAAACTGAATTAGGTGTGATCCGACATCATCCGCGTTGTTAAAAATTTTACCATTTAAAGAGTTTTGCATGGAACGAAACAAATGGTAATCCGAAGGCGCAAGGTCAGGGCTATATGGTGGGTGTGACAAAACATCCCAACCCAGTTCCAATAATTTTTGCCGAGTAACCAAAGATGTGTGCGGGGG